AATACCACCTCTGAATATTTATCCAAAGTAATTGAAATTCTGAAGATTTATCCAACTAACTCTCCAACTAAGAATGTTATTGAGATATTTACTCAACATATCTCCTATATTACTGTTCCCATTCTCTCTCTCCCTCTCAAAACCTATTTGATTACATTTACATGTAGCTACATTTACAATTGACAGCAAGTAAAATGTTTTTGTCTTGACCTTATATATAACTTTTTAGGATGTGATTTTCAGTATGCCACCGTTCAAAGGCCAAATGCAAATTTTGGCATAGAAACCACAACCCTGATTTATGTCTTAGTTTCTTATAGTTTCTTAGTTTCTGTGAACATCTAGTGGCTGTTTATAATTCTTTTAAGTCACATTTAATGATCATCTATCTGTTTAAAAAGATGCTGGTGGTATTTCGAAATCCCAAAGATGCAGCTACATCCTATTATCATTTTTACAACAAAAATCCTTTGCTGCCTACTCCTAGTTCCTGGGATGACTTCTTTCAGAAGTTTATGAGTGGTGAAGGTATGTTATCTTATGTTTGTTGTTTGTTTGTTTATAAATTTTATTGGCAGCCATCTTACAAGATAATTCTGGGCAGCTTACAGTAAAAAAATTACATTAAACATAAACATAAATAAATTAAAATCAAAGATTAAAATATAAGGACAGGGACGGAAGGTGGCGGAGGTGGGATCTGTTGTTATTCGATCAACCACCTCCTCTGGGGCCCATTCCTCCATTGGGCCCCAATCCAACTAGCAAAGTCAGGACTTTAGGCCCTTATAAAAGGATAGGAAACTTAAGGCCAACCTCATATTCTCACAACCTCAATATTTATTCCTTTTGATCTTCTCAAAGCCTCCCATTTACAATTCTGCTTAGCCTGAAAATGTTTCCCGTTAAATTAGAATCTGGTCCTATCTAAGTGATTGCATAGAACCATAACTTTTTTTTCCTCTAACTCATTTGATGAAGAAATATTGAAGAAAAATAAATTCAGGGAATTGGCCTACTGGCATACAAAGGAAGCATTTAATCGGGACTTGAACTTCAAAAAGCTGTCCATTATTTATGTTTTTAGCATATTTCTTATTTCAAGCTAGTTCTTCCTGTACATTTTTAATACCAGTAGTAAAAATCGACACGCACAAACAAGTTTAAAATGGTGATTTATTTAATTCATATAGTATATCAGAAGCTATCTGTTGTAGCAATCCTGGTTACATAAATTAAACTATGGATGAGTATATTTGCAATAGATATACCTTTACTACTTTGGAAAACATTCCAAAGATAATTTATGTATAAATAATATTGTAGAAACCACATCATGGCACAGCTTATGATATATAATGTATCCTCTTTTTTCCCCACAAGATGGTGACAGCAAAAGAAGTGATTCCAAATTTTGGGATTCCTTTCTAATTCTTTCCCTGATCAGAAGACAATACTCAATGATCTGAATAAAAAGAGTTAAAGAAGCCCTCATCTTAAAAATGAGTGTAATTTATTTATTACTTCAGCTTATATGCAGCCCAGAGTCTAGAAATGGAATTGCAGACAAATTGAAGTAATAGATGAAATTTAAAATAAAATAAAGGTATTTCCCATATGTTCTAACTATTTATGAAGGGAATTACTAAGTGTAATCTTTAGATTAATTTTTAGCTAAAAATGTGATATGCATTGACCATTCTAAAATTATCATACTCTTTCAGAACTTTTTGGAGGATCAGACATTCTTTCCCCCTCTCTCCTTGATGTGATAAAAGTTTTCTCACATAGCACAAATCTGATCAAATAAAAAAAGATTTTCTAGAATGATATCACTGCAAATAGTATTAGACTTGTCCTAATAAGATATGATTCAGATTATAATAATTTATAATTTAACTGAATTAGAACAAACTTAGTTAGATTTCATCACATAATCCAGTTGATTTGCTTATTTTATTTGCGTATTATAAAAATGTGCCCTGGGCAGGTCAGCCTAGAGCCAGTATCACATTGGACCCTACCCAGATATCTTGTATTTACAATAGACTCAATGAAATCGGATTAAAATAGCCATGGTAAACCTGGTTCCAATACAGTTGATATGATTGAGATTGTTACCTTTTCCTTGTCTCATTTAGAGAACCTAATTAGCTGGTGAGATAGAAATTGTGTACATTTCATTTCAGTTGCATGGAAATCCTACTTTGACCATGCTCTTGCTTGGGACAAACATATGGATGAAGAAAATGTTATGATAATCACCTATGAAGAACTGAAAGAAGTAAGCCTTTTAGAAATTAAAATAATATTTGTATTACATATTCATTTTTCTGTAGCCTATAGCTATGGAGGAAACCTTCTCCAGCATTCCCCATGTGAGCAACTTCTGTGAGAAGGGGCAAGAAAGGTACTAGTGACAAAAAAGTGAATTATAACATCCTGATGCAAGTCCTATGACTTGTGCCCAGTATCAGGATACAAGCAAGAAAGGATGGAGTTTGCCCAATGACATCATCATACATGCATCACCATTTTTTTTTATCACCATCATGAACAGTAGTGAATATTCCTGCTTTAGCTCCCATGATTGCTGTCCAGGTTGATCCAGATTTATGAGCTGAAATTAGCTTGCAGATCTGATATTTAAATGGGGGAACCCAGATAAAAAGATACACATTTCCTTCTTTCCCAAATAGAATATCCCTGGAAGGCACCACTAGCCAGAAGCGGCCAATTGGTTTCTAGGCTAGACTGATCCTGTAACATTAATAGAATGGTTGGTGAAGTGTGTCAGAATCTATACAGGATAAAACTGCACAATTTGTTGACTGCTTAAGGGAACAGTGATGACAACTTTAAGCTGCTTCAGGTATAGTTAGAGACACAATGAGGTCAATGGCATGGGCCTAACTGAGTGCAGAGCACAAGTGGAAAAGACTTTTATTCTTCTATCCTATGTGTCATAGGATGACTAGGAAATGAGCTACGTTGTGTTGACATATTGTTCTTTCTTTGCTTAATCATGGTTTCTTGGTTAGTACGATAATCCATAAACTATGCTTTATGAATCACAATGGCTAGGATTATTCAACACCTAAACCACAAATAAACTTACTTTTAGTGTAGTGTAAAAATCTAGCCTTATTCTTTAGTGTTTGGTCTCAGTGCTATGCTTTGACTTTTCTGTGTTGCAAAGCTTCATAATTAATATAGAGTGTATTTTCATTATTTAATTTACTTGAAAGCCAGGTTATTTGGGTTATATATTTTTAAATGAAAATATAAATGGTGTTTCTACAGTTAGGGGCAATCCTAATTCAGGCTCTATAAATGCTAATGAGACTGAAATACATATTAATAATTGGATTTGCAAAAATGAAAAATATATGTAAATATTTAGTATAAACAGCACAATGTTGTACATGTGACCCTCAAAAGTTAAAGCTTTGACTATAAATCCTGAAACCTTGAACATAATTTTCACCTCTGCACGTCATTTACTTCCTCTCATTAATAAAGACATTAATGCACTATAATACTGTACTTTTCTATCACCTGGGGAACTCTGGAAGTTGAAGTTCATGCTTATCAATGTTGAGAAACACTAACTCTAACTCATCCCATTCTTGGGTGTCAAAGCAGTGTACAGTGTACAGGTAGCCCTCCTCACAAGTGTCACGTTTAGTAACTATTCGTGATTATGGTGCTGAAAATGTAACTTTACAACTGGTCCTCATATTTACGACCATCACAGCATCCCCACAATCACGTGGTTGAGATTTAGGCCCTTTGCAACTGCAGGGTATTTACAACCTTAACAAAGTCCCATGGTCATGTTATCACTTCTTATATGCTTCACGGCTGGCTTCCAACAAGCAGAGTTAATGAAGAAGGCAACAGTAAAATCCCAAGTCACAGTCATGTGATGCAGGGGTGAAATTCAAAATTTTTCTCTACCAGCTCTGTGGGCATAGCTGTGGGCGTGGCTTGGTATAATAGTAATAGCAACCGGGGGTGATTTTTTACCGATTCAAATTGTCCCTACCACCTCTCCTGAGCCAGGCCGAGGTGATTGAATTTCACCCCTGATGCGATGTCTCCCTTAACAGCCATATTGCTTAGCAAACTGAGTTGCCGGTCCCAATTGTTGTTGTAAAATGAAGACTACCTGTATTATTTTAAATGTTTTTAGAGGTGAAATAATTGATTGTACTATTTTACAGAACCTTCTGGATGGAGTCCAACGAATTGCTGATTTTTATGAATTCCCTCTGTCGGATGAGATAGTTAAGTCTATTGCAGATAAGGCTACCTTTCAAGCAATGAGCAGCAAATCTCTGGAAATTTTTGGTCAATTTGCTTCTGTTATTTTCAGAAAAGGTATTATTTCCCTCAGGTGCTTAACTGCTGTTTCTTCAAAGAACACACATGTCCTCTAGTGCAGGGGTCCCCAACCGCCGGTCCGCGGACCGGTACCGGGCCGCGGAACAAGCCTTACCGGGCCGCTGGTTGCTGGGCGCCGCCATCTTTTTTTGGTAAAAAAAGCAATTTTTCGTCAAAAAAGATGGCGGCGCCCAGCTGACGCCGGAACCGGGCCGCGGCGCCCAGCTGACGCCGGAACCGGGCCGCGGCGTCGAAAAGGTTGGGGATCCCTGCTCTAGTGGAGATAATTAATATTAAAAGCAAAAACTAAGGTTTATGATTTGCTATAGTATCAATACTTTGAGGGCCTATTTTAAAGTTTTGTCTTTCTGCTGCATTGCAGAATAGAGGAACAAAACTCTTTAAAAGACATTGAAATGTCTTTTTACTTTTATCATCATGTGTAAAATATAAACTTGATCGAATATGTGCATTTCATTCTTTAAATAAACATATGTAGTCATGAATCCTACCACCACAGAAGCAACCTACCACCCTCCCAATGTTTTGGGTGTTAATTACCCCTATCACCTCATTTGGTTTATTCCCAGGTATCTTAGGCTATAAAGCTTTACTATCTGGAATATCTATTAAATTCAACAGGTCTTATTTCTGAGTACTGTAGAATTGCATATGAATACATTACAAAGCATATAAATTATGCATGATTCCACATTCCAAAGGTATTTCAAACTGTTGAACTTTTATAGATGAAGACATAACTAATTATTTTTTCATTGATCCTCCACAGGTGAAGTGGGCGATTGGAGAACTTTGTTCACTGAGGCTCAGAGCAAAGAAATGGATGCAAAATTTGAAGCATGTTTAGCTGGGACTAAACTGGGTGCAAAACTAAAATATGATAAATATTGCAAATTTTAACATTTGTACTTTTGAAATAAAGTAATTTAGATATACCTTTTCTAAATGAGAAATTAAATTAATAAACTAATAAAAATTATACATACATA